CGCCAACCATACTAGGAGCCCCGTCAGTAGTGATGCTGGCCAGCTTAGACCAGTCTAGACCCAGCTCTCCCATCGTTTGGCACACTTTACCAAAAATATCCTCCCCTGTCGTAGTGCCTTTTAGACTTTGTAGGGCTGCTAGCTCCTCTGCCACTTCAAAGTTTGAGCTAACTCCACGAAGAAAAATTAGCAGCTGTGCTGTGTCCTGCACGTCATTGCTCTCATCCAGTGCTAATGCAAAAAATTCAAATTCTTTCACTTTCTCCTGCAACTGGGCATATACATTATCCCCCATTTCTTCAATTCGTCTGGTGATTGTACTTGCGGACAGACTCACCGCATTTAAGACATCTTTCTTATCAGGGCACACCTCCTCAGCAACAGCATTTATACATTTCTTGACGAACTCGCCGTTACTGAATGCCCTACCGCTGGTTGCAATCAGCTCGAACGGACGACTGGTTCAGCTGGGTTTGGTTAACAAATGTATTCTGCTGAGCTGATAGTACACTTTTTAGCTTCGACACTTTGTCTGCTCTCATTTGGCCTTGCAAGCTAGCAGACTTTTCTCTGTGGGAGGTTTCATAGTGTCGGCGCAGATTGTATTCTTTGAACACAGACACTGTTTCTTGACAGATGAGACAAACAGCCACTTCTTTGCACTGAACAAAAAAATAATCACTTGTCCACTTTTGGTTAAATGCCATGCATTCTGAATCAACCTTTCTCTTTCCCAACCGTTTGGCCATTTTGTCGTCTCTCTGAATTTTTTTGCTGGTTCGCGCGTCACCTGTTCGATCACGATGGTACATTATGTTGAACGTACCATTCTGTTGGTAGGTGAATTTAACAAATAATTAGGCTACGTTAATAACTAAGGGAAATTTTTGTCGGAAAGCCAATATTTATTATCAAATATAGACATGATATAAGTGAAACCGTATATTTAAAATTAAATTTTCAAAATATGTCTCTGGCATTGTTCAGAGGGCCGGTGGGGCACATTTGGCCCGCGGGCCGTAGTTTGGGGACCCCTGATCTAAAGAGTGTGGTAACACTTTACTTGAAGGGGTGTGCATAAGACTGACATGACACCTTCATAATCATGACATGACACATATCATGAATATGAAGGAGGTTTTATGCATGATTATGACAACTGTCATTAAGTGTCATTCGCTCAGTTATGTCATTTTTAATGCAAATATTACATTATTTGACCTAACTGTAACCTAACCCTAACCTTACCCCTAACCATAGCCCATAACAAAGACATCTCAAACAATGTCATTTTTGCATTAAAAATTACATAACTGAGCGACAGTTGTCATAAACATGCATAAAAAACTTTCATATTCATGACATGTGTCATGTCATGATTATGAAGGTGTCATGTCAGTCTTATGCACACCCCTTCGAGTAAAGTGTAACCAAGAGTGTTCATGTGATTTTATACATTAGTAATGTTGGGAACTGATTAAATGCATAATAATCGTCATAATCGTAAAACCGTGATTATTCCTCAGACAATAATCGTACCAACAAAATCTATAATCGTTGCATCCCTAGTCACACCTTGATTTGTTATTGCAGAACATTGGTGATCAATAACTCATCATTCTTTCCAAAGCATAAAGAACAGAATAAAAAAGTAGTTCCCATGCATGAATAATGTCTTCATATTACCAGATATAATCCGTCTAAAGGTGACAGCTATATCTCAGCTGATCTTAAACCATTCAAGCTGGAAACACATGCATGTCAAATAAACAAATGTACCACAAATCTTAACAGCCATTGTAATAATTTTCTGATGGTTGAACATGAGCTTCTGGTTACAGCAACTATCAAACAAGAGACAGATAATATTGACTAAAGCCTGATCAAAACAATATAGCACACAAATCAGTCGTGCAACAGCGTTTATAAACATTTACACGATTACTTACCTCTGAACAGAATATCACTAAATGAGAGTGATGCAGTACACATACAAACGCCTTTAAACATTCTGTAAACATGCGGTCAGTTTGACACTTACCGTATCTCTCGGCTCAGTAGGTTTAGTGGGGAGGGAAAAAACGGGAATAGAAGAACAACCTTGGTGTAATAACGTTACTGCCAAAACAGAACGATCTGTCAATGGCAATTCTTCACAAGTAAGTTATATAAAGTTCGCCTGTAACAACTGTCACCTCGTAAACTTATTGTTATTCTTGACTTTAACGCTCTGCAATACTCTCTGTGTTTATTTAATACAGCCAAACTCAGAAATCGATCGACCTTTCACTTCTGTACGCGTAAATAAGGCGGAATGGTGGGAACGGTGGAGGACGGGAGCGCAACAGTTTCTCTACACGGCCACAGCGAGAATTCTACTACGACAGAGGCAAAGCTTATAAATATTTAATAAGGTCATAATGAGGTTGCCTGGTAACCTTCCGGTAGCGTCCAGTCACGTAACCTGATCATATTCAAGAGCAAATGATTCAGCAAATCGCTCTGGGCTACTGAGAGAACGTCAGTTTGCGTCATTCATATTAATATTTCAAGCCTTAGCCATAGTAGGACTTCCGTCTCCATTACGGCTACAGGAGCGCCATCTGTCGACGCACCATGTCAAAACCACCACCCTGCTCGAAGACACTTTCCATTTTCATTTTCTGAGTTAGTTATTAGTGTTATGTCATTTAAAAACTTTCTTACCATCATGAACACTTTATTTAGAACATTTGAAATAAATTTTTTTTACATTAACTAAACAGACCAGAACACAGGCGGTCTATAAAACGGGTCGACTTTATTGCTTAGAGAATACAGCTTACAGCTTTTGCAAAGGCATGTGAATACGCTTCTCAACTACGCCTTACCAGTCATCACAAGATATGAATTAACCACACATTCACAACTGCACTTTTACACATTGCACCTGGGGAAAAAATCTGCTATCAAAACACTGTACAGAGTGAGAGTTGCAGAGCGTTCAGTGCGATATGCACCAAAGCGTTCACGTCATACAGAGCGCAAATACCATGAGCAGATTTCCAAAGCCTATCTGGTGACTGAATTTTCATAGTTTTTCTATCTTTGGTACTATGAGACAGATTATTATTCTGCACATGAAAATCTTTTCCTTAGAATACTGTTCTGAACACAGGGCAGGTAAAAGACTATCTACACAATCTTTATCTTCACTTGAACTAAAATGAACCAGAAAGCAACATCCTACATTACAAATCACATTCTCTTATCTCATTCAGCAGAACAGAGAGAATACAGAAGCGGGGATGAACGGCTGTAAAAATCACTTTCCAAAAAATGTTCCCCAAATGTGTCTCTTTAAACTATTTTACAAATATAAGAGAAATACGCAAATCGCCTAAAACAGGACGCGATTCAAAACACCGGCTCCTGAATTTAACTAATGACAATTAACACGATACACCTCATGTCACTGCCACAGCAAATGACTTAACATTCTTCCCACACACATACAATGAAACTTATGGCAACTGCCTTCAATTAAATCAGGAAGAAATGAGAAAGAAAAAGAGGGATTTTCGAAAGCTAATAATTCTAGTTAACAAGTGAATCGAGGCAAACATAGCAACAAATCACAGGAGAACACCCATGATTGCTCCTAAACCGTCAGTATGAATTTATACTGGTGATCTGGGATTTAAAAGTTTATATAGAAGAAAACACTGCAGAGGTCCCTCTCTGCTAAGGTTACAGAGGACAGAGAATGTGTTCAAGACCGTACATGTCTGTAAATATATATATTTGTCAATCTATCTATGTGCTTGGAAAGCCAGCCAGGAGTCACATGTCATCCTCTTCATCTTCATCCTGGGAAGATCCGGCCTGCTGAGCGGAACTGGCTGAAGCTGCCGCTAACTGTGCCTGCTGGGCGGCCTGCTGCATCTGTAACCACTCCTGCTGTGCTAACTCAGCCTGCTGCTGCCGTGCCTGTAAGACAGCAGAATTTATCAGAAGAGCCACTTGAAAACACAGCGTTCATGTTGTTACACAATACAAGGCACAAATTAGAAAGCCACAGAGCGCAAAGCTGATTCCATCCATTTCATAAATAGTTCCAACATGCTTTTAAAGCTCTTCCAGGATTTTACCTTGGCAAATAATTCCTGCTGTTGACGGAGAAGCTCTTCCTCAGGTATGCCAAGGTTCTCTAGTCGAGAGCTGGCCTTCCTCCGTTTAAGCGCTACGGTTTTACACTCTTGCAGAACGTCTTTTACTTCTGCGATATATGACCCAAAACCTAGACTTTCAAGCGCTGAGGGAAGGGGGAAAAAACATTAACTGTTACATATATCTGTTGGAAACTAAATGTACAACCAGTGACAACAAGAAATCATCATCTTCATACTGTAAACCTTTATCGTGACTGTTACACAATCGCATCCATACTGAATGCTAAAATACTGAATTAATCTTCAAACTAATCTGAATTAATCTGTATATTAATACAATCCAAGACCTTAGCTGTCACCTAAAAGGTTGTAGGTTCAAACCCACAAAGGGACATCAGTGCAATCACCACTACGGATTTAATAAACATAGTTAAAGGGATAGCTCAAAAATTACATTCTCTTATTTTGTGTTCCACAGAAGAATGAAAAGCATACAGGTTTGGAGCAAGTCAAACCATTTTCATTTTTTGGTTTAAAATGGAGTTGACCTATCTAAGCCAGTTTAAGTTGGTCCCCCAGACTGGCTAAGCTGATCTCCAGCAAGTCTTCAAAACTGAGCAGCTGAAAAGTGCCCAAAACCCCTTTAAAATCAGTCAAACGACTAGCCAGACCAGGGGGCAAATGCAGTCTTAACATTCGTTTATGTCTATGTTTTTGAAATTGGCCCCAGGCTGGAAGAGCAGCTAAGACCAGCAGACCAGTTTAGGCTGGTTTAAGATCATGAATTATATGGAAAATGAGTCAATGAGTGAACGGTGATCGAGGCTGGATCACTCAGGCAAACATCTCATTTTGCGCTCATCTGAAGCAAGAAATATGGGGCTTGGAACAACATGAGTGAGCAAATGAAAGAACGTGTATTTAAACTACCCTTTAACTCAAGCTTAGTGGAAAAGCTTTGAATAAAAACCCTCCATCATTCATCCTATTGATTAATTAGCTGTTAGTGATCTCACAATCATCAAGAAGTGACATCCTCACCGTTTATAACATGTTCTGGGGATATAGTCTTCTTCTCGGATTTATTGCAGATCTCGTTGGCCTCTGATGAGACGAGGTGAATGAACTCTGTGCAGCAGTTCACCACCAGCTCTCTGGCATCGTTCGCTACTCGCACATTGGGAAGCGTTTCTTTAATCATTTTATTGATCGCCGCCCTCGGGATCGTCAGGTCATCGTCGTTGCCCGATGAAGAGGCCATGAGGGATGAGATGCCGAGACGCTTCAGTGTTTGAAGGGGACCAAAACCAGGCGAGGAAGTTCAATGGGTTGTTAATGATGAAACGCCCACAGAGGCGGCTTTGTGTGGAGATTCAAATGGTGTGGTTGTCTTTCTTATAGCAGATCACTAAAACACTGTCAGAGAGAATGCATGCTTTTGAATATAGTTTTGAATTCAAATTCAGGGAAAGAGGGCGAGTGTTTGACCAAATGAAGGGAGGATGAGAGGAGTCGGTACCTTTCGGTTGATCAATTTACGCTGACTCTCCACATCCACACATCAGTGCTGTTCCTGTGCGCGTTTATAATCATGATTCAACTCCGATCGTTCATTCTCAAGCTGCCTGGGTAAACTAACAGACGGCGCCAGCGTTCGGCCAAAGCCCAGGGCGGAATTGTTTAAGCATCCGACGCTCTTAATTCATTGCCTCACCCACTCCGTTCGCGATCAACGAAATGAACCCCAAAATGCATCACTTCCGGATATCCGGTGATTCTTCTGCTTGTTATTGTATCGGGGGGTTGCTCGACACTGCCGCCTACTGTACGAAACCGAAATTACCTAATTTGATCTCGAGACACTCTTTCTTATTACCTTATTTCTTATTGCCTTTCTTATTGCAACTCGAAATCTTTCAAACCATTAAACATTGTATTGTGTTGTGTATACCCCTGACATTTTGTATTGCAAAAGTACAAAACTTAAATTGCAAGCACAAGATTAGGGAAAGTTACGTGGTTACATAGTTGGGGGTCCAAGCAGCCAGTTGCTTGAGCCTTGTGTTTGTTATGGTTTTCTTTGCTTCCTTCTCCATTTTTTACGGTATATGCATATATTATGCATATTACTATACATTAATACAATTATTTGACATGATATTATATTATAATTAGTACACACAGACAACAGGTGATACACTCCAAATTTTTCAATCAAGTTTAGGTCATGGAGGATGCTATATCAACCTAAGTGCTTAGCTGTGTGATTAGGATGTTAACTTGATACTTTTGTTTTTATGTTTTTATTTGGTAGAAGCCTTAACATTAAAAAAAAAAGTCTTAAAATAGAAATAAAAAAATGTCTTAAAATAGAAATAGGCTAGAACAGGGGTGCCCAAACTCGGTCCTGGAGGGCCAGTGTCCTGAAGAGTTTAGCTCCAACCCCAATTAAACACACCTGAAGCAGCTAATCAAGCTCTTATAGGCATACTAGAAACTTAAAGGCAGGTGTGTTGAGGCAAGTTGGAACTCTGCAGGCCACCGGCCCTCCAGGACCAAGTTTGGGCACCCCTGGGCTAGGACAATTTATCAGAATTGGTGAAAACTTGAAACTAAACTTGTTTAGATTACAAAATTCGGTTGATCAGTGATCTGATTGGGACTAATTATCAAAATGTCACAGTATATGGTAACATGCCCAATACTATTCAACTATATACAAGCACATCATGTGAGTGAGTGGGAGTGTCTCAACCCGGAAAGAGAGGCACAGCATCTACATCCAATTGTGTGTGACACTGACCTCATCATCATGAACTGTGTCGTGAAGTGCCTGGGGCTGTCCATGCATGTATCCTGAGGGAGAGCACTGTATACAGAGAGTTCCAGTCTGATTAGGATAATCCTGTTTTTTTGGATTCCCAAAAAGGTACCCCAATCCTACAAAAAGTTTTGAACAACACCTACTGACAATTAAACCATGTTTGGATGACTGGATCTAATCCTATTTCTGAATGTTTCTTTTGAACAACATTTTCAAGAATTTATATAAACCGATAGCTGAAAACCTGATCAGAACAACTGGGCTAATAAGACAATTTCTATTGTTATTTAAAGATCGTCATGACAATTGATGCCCAAATGCAATGCACTTTTTGAGAGAACTGGCCACAAGGTGG